TGTATACACTTGAATCGGTACTCTAGTTGTGCAGGCGCCCAGTGGAGTAACGACGTGGCTACCAGCTGTCTGAATTTGCGAGTTACGCCATGGCGTGATGAATTTATTTAGCTGCGTTGTCAGTTTCCCGCTCAGTATGGAATAGTCTGCACCGGTGTCCACTAACGCATTAACTGCACAACCATCCCTAGTCACTGCTATGTCGAGTGAAAGTCGGCTGTCCTTTGCAGCATTAGATGATGTCGGACCGGTTCCTGTATGGTTCTGCGTCAATAGGAGGTCTTCAGCGCTTCGACGTTCAGCGACCCCGCCCCCAGAGGTCACTTCGGCTATAGTTTTCCTGGCGGGGGCTGGGAGACCGTGTGGTAGAATACCACTGGGGCGTTGATGAAAATCGCCTCGGTGATGGCGAGCGTGACTGGCGCCCGGCAGACGGTGGTGCATGCTGCTGGGAGAGGTAGTTTTCGATTTGGCGTGGTCTCTGGCCGTAACGGGGTGGCAGTGAGTACGCAGAGAAGCCGCGAAGCCCAAGACGGTGATACGGGCACTGGCGGTACAAGTGATCAGCTTCTCCGCAGTGAAAGCACAGAGGCTGGCGATCAGGTGTGCGCCAAACATCACACTTCCGAAAAGACGTGTGCCGATCGTCGATGTACTGAACTGGATGCACTGAACGATGGGCGACAGAAGCGCCAGGAACAAAGGGCAAGGGCGGTGGCGTGTATTAGCCTTCGTAGTACGGTATGTGCTGCGCTGACAGGAGTGAAACAGCAGGAACAGGATGGACGAATAATGGCGGCGTTGCAGAAGGGCGTTTCAAGGCTTCCGTGTAGGTTGTCTCACGGCGGTGTTCTGCAGGAGCTGGCGCAGCTGTATCAGGAGGCAAGGTGTCCCGGAGGGCCTGGTGCAGCTCATCTTTGATCACAGTAGCAATAAAGCTAACCGTAGGATGAGGTGTTACACCAGCCTTTTGCAACTCTTCACGTACTATATTACGGATGAGTTCGTGTAGACAGTCGTTGCTGGTTGTAGTGGCGGTGAAAATGTCGGCAGTGGACATGCCACTGACTTGCCTGTCGTATTGGTTGGATCGCTGCTGCAGCATTTTTTCCATTGCTATGGCCTCGGACAAGAACTCCGTGAAACTTGAACCCCGTGAGACAAGCATCCGTGAGACTACCCAGCAACTCCACCAGTTTGCCACGATAAATCACAAGTACTGGGCGATTTATTAAACCACAGAGTAGCGAGCTCTAGGAGGATGCGTCAGTCGTGGCTGACTCTCGAGCATAGAAGCACGCGATCTTCTTTTTTCTTCCACATTTAGAGCCGCTCTTGCTGAAAGAACGTGTTTACATGCTATGCTCATAGCACACTCGTGGCCGCTTCGCTAGCTTTTTGTATACCAAATTTGGTGTTACGTGACGAGAATGGACGACGAAGGTCGTCCATTCTCTGGTGAAAACTAATAATCATGACATGCGGGTCATGTGGCACATGACTACTGCTATGCTCATATCATGCTCGCGGCCATTTTGCTAGCTTCTCGAGCGTATACCAAATTTGGTGTTACGGGAAAATAACGAACGACGATGGTATATGATTGGTGCAAGCATGATAATCATGACATGCGTGTCATGTGAGAGCATGACTACATGCTACGCTCATAGCACGCTCATGGCCGTTTCGCTAGCTTCACATATACCAAATTTGGTATTACGTGACGCGAACGGACGACGAACACAAATGTCAGGCCAAGACATGATAGCATGGCATGGAAGTCACGAACGACATCAGTTACGTCCGCCTCGTAACATTGGGCTGATTTTAAAGTTACATATCAACGTTCCTTCGTGGATCGCATATCATGAATTCATTTCATTTCATTTCATTTCATTTCATTTATTTATACTGTTAGCCCAGAAGTGGGCCGTTACAGGGTGGAAGTACAAACAATTATTTGCAAAAAAGAAGTACCGTACAGGTCTCGAGATAATTTCTCGGTATTATTGTGACCAGCAACTCGAAGTTATACATAACATACATAAATGGAACACACATGCGATGCAATACATACGCGCAGAACAGCACATGACGCATTTGAGGCGGCACTTTTGCACCGCACTGAAGATTTGAAAGACAACTACTGCAGGATCATGCAACCAACAAAAAGTACACACACACGCAAAAAAAAAAAAACATATGTCACTGTTATTCGGAAAATAAACGTTTTAGATTCAGTTCAAATGATGTAAGCGAGGAACAACCAATTATAGACTCTGGCAGCATATTCCAATCTTCAATAGCACGTGGAAAGTAACTGAACTTAAAGCAATCGTTACGTGGGACTAGGGGTGGTATATACATATTATGGCGATGTCTGGAGTGTTCTTGTGTGTTGACCTGGAAGTAATCTGAATAGTTTAGTTTAAATTGATTATGAATTAACTGGAAGAGGAATTTCAGACGCTCAATCCTCGTCCTAAGTTCAGGACTATCCAGTCCAGCTTTTTTACAGAGTTCAGTAGGAGAATGATGTCGGCTATATTTATTAAAAATAAATCTCGCACCAAGTCGCTGTATTTTTGTTATTTTATTGCAGTTTGTCTTTGTGTAAGGGTCCCAGACAATTTTAGAATATTCGATAATGGGTCTGACAAGAGTTTTGTAAGCAAGACACTTTATATCAGATGGGGCGGTATAAAGGTTACGTCTAAGGCTATACAATGCCTTGGTAGCCCTGGAGCATACATTATCAATATGAGTGTTCCACCGGAGGTCGGGCGTGAACCATAACCCAAGATATTTATAGTTTTGTACACGCTTGAGGAAAGCATTGCCAATCTGGTAGTTGTAATCTAGAGGTGCTTTCTTTCTAGTTATAGTCATAAAGACTGTTTTTTCTGTGTTCAAACTCATTTGCCATTCTTCGCACCAATCCTTTATTCTTTGAAGATTGTTGTTTAGATTAACTTGGTCATGTTCAGTCTCGATTCTACTATAAACAACACAGTCATCGGCAAACAACCTTATCGGGACCGTAACGCGGTTTGGTAGGTCATTTATATATAACAAAAATAAAAGGGGACCCAGCACGCTCCCCTGGGGAACTCCAGAATTCACTGCAACTGCTCTAGACTGTTTATTTTTATTTGAACAAACTGCTGACGGCAGCTGAGATAGGATGAAAACCATTTTGTCAAGTGACTATTTTGAAACGTTTTGTCAATTTTAGACAGGAGCTTTGAGTGCGACACTTTATCAAATGCCTTTGCGAAATCCAAATATACCACATCAGTTTGACCACGCAAATTGATTGTTTTTGAAAGATCATGAACAAATCCGATTAACTGAGTTGTTGTAGATAAGCCTCGGCGGAAGCCATGCTGCTTCGAAGATAATAGATTGTGCGTATCAAGATAGGACATCAAGTGTTTGTTAATAATGTGCTCGAGTATCTTTGAACATGTACTGATAAGCGAAATAGGACGGTAGTTGCGCTCGTCTCGAGAGGAGCCACTTTTGTGAACAGGGGTAATTTTAGCCTGTTTCCACGCTAGTGGGAAAGAGCCACTGCGCAGGGACGACTGAAAAATTTTTGTAAGGAAGCGAGCCGCCCATTCAGCATATCTGTACAGAAATTCGTTTGGTATACCATCAGGGCCGGGGGTTTTTCTTGTATTTATATTAAGTAAAAGATTTAGAACACCCTCTTCGCTAATTTCCACATCATCGATCGGCCGCTGCAATGGTGACGTAGAAAACTCGGGCAAATTGCCATTATCATGAGTAAACACAGAAGCAAAAAAAGAATTGAAATCATCAACACGTTGTTGAGTAATTTCAGGTGGCCTCGGAGAGCTTGCTGGGGGAGTTACAAAGCGCCAAAACCTTGAGGGGGCTTCCTTCAAGTATTTCGTCAATGTCACATTGAAAAACCGATCCTTGGACTGCTTGATCAGACGTTTCAGTTCTTGTCTCATTGAAGAAATGCAAGCTGTTCCTTCAGGGGTACAATTTTTTGCACAAGATTTCCGTATCCGTTTTAGTTTTCTTTTTATGTGAATGATTTCTCTGGTGATCCAGGGATTGGTTTTACAAATGCGTTTTCTAATCCTAGGTACATAGCTGTCTATGCACTTCCCTACAACAGTTGAAAAGAAATGCCATAGCCTATCAGTGCTGCAGTCAGTGTTGTATAGGACCTGAAATTCGTCAAAGGACCTTTCAAGATAGTCCAGAATAGACACATCATCAGCCGCCATAAAATTCAATACAGTGCTAAGTGTGGGTTTACCCAAGGTGTCTGGGGACAATGCTAGGTGCGTTACTACCATTCTGTGGTCGGATAGGCCTTCTACAACTTCACAACGGCTGAGTAACGGCAACAGCTTTGGGGACACAAAAACCAAATCAAGGATAGATGACCTTGTAGTCCCTATCCGAGTAAGTTCAGTGACAGTTTGCGTTAGCCCGTAGCAGAATGCCAGCTCCAGTAGTTGCTCAGCACTTGCAACCTGTTCCGATCCAGGAGACTGGGATAGCCAATTAATATCCGGAAGATTAAAGTCCCCTAATAATAATACGTTATCTTGGAGACTAAAATTAGAATCCATAAAATTTCTTAGCTTTGCGATTATATCAAGAGGGGAATTTGGCGCTCTATAAATCCCTCCAATATACACAGTTCGCTCGCTGAACCCACACCTAATCCACAACATTTCTATGTCATAGTTATCATCCAACACTGAAAACCTAATGTTGTCTTTAATAAGAAACGCAACTCCACCACCTCTTCCTTGCCGGTCTTTTCTAACAATTGTGTAACCTGTAGGTGTTACTTCAAAATCTGCTACATCCGTGTGTAACCAAGTCTCTGTTACGACCATTATATCCGGTTCATGCTCCAGGATTGCGGCTTCAACTGCATCAGCTTTATTCAGCAAACTTCTGGCGTTTACATTAATAACCTTAACAGATGCGGTTGGTCTCGATTGGCGTCAGTCAGAGCTGGTAATACCTGGGCTAGCATACCTGAATCGCTCGTTGGTAACCTCATTCCAGCCATAGAGAACGTTGTTTACTTTCAATTTATCGATGATTAGTTTAACCTTTGCTCCCTTTGCTCTTTCATCCGCTGATGAAATCCATAGTTGTTTTCTGATTTCAACTACTCGTTTAGAGTAATCTTCGCTGATACTGAATTGTGTCCCCTTGAGGTTGCGGCAGTTTTTCAGTATTTTGGTTTTGTCCCTGAAGTCTCCTACTTTCAAGATGACTGGACGGCTTCTTCCAGGTATTTTCTTTCCTAGACGGTGAATTCTCTCAATGGAGCTACACTTTGAGCCAAGTAATTTTTCAAAGATATCGTCATTCACCTTGCTTAAGAGTACTGCCTCATCCTCAAATTCATCTTCTTCCACTCCGCGTACTAAAAGGTTGTTGCGTCTAGAACGATTATCTAAATCATCGATCTGCCTGGCAAGAGCCGTCAATTCACTGTCATGGCGACCAACACTTGATTCTATCATTGTAAGCCGGCTCTGTATTTCACCCAACCCTTCAAGTTGTTTTTCAATAGTCTGGAGCCTAACATGCATGTCGGAAATGCTGGCATCCGTAGATGTCTGCTTGGCCTGAATTTCATTAACTTTTGCTAGTAGTTTAGTCTGGTTACTTAATATTTCCTCCAGCATTTTTTCAACCTCGGGCCCAGGATTTTCCTCTACGTCACCGGACAACTTCAGTAACAGGCTTACAACTGAAACACAGTCATTTAAGCAACCAAGAACAGTGTGTGGACACGGCAGCACAATCAGGCAGGTACAGTTACTACGAAAACCATACTTTCGATCACCAACCTGCACAAGTAGACGCACGTAAGGCGACATCATCACGGCGTTGCTGCCGCGTCCACTGAAGGTCGAGACCATGACCCTTGCTTTTATATGCTCCGGGCAGCTTGCTATCGGGGAGGAGGAGGACGTCATCGTGCTCCACGGGGGTGCGCAGTCGACGAAGTCTACGTGGCACAGCATCGTTGACGCCACTGGCGTTGATCTAGATGCGCAGTGGTTGAGTTCCTTCGAGGGCTGGTGCGCATTCTCCATCGGGGTCCATTGATAGTGTTGTCCAGCAATAACATAGGCCGCTGCTGCGTCCGCGAAGAACCACGCCAAAACCTGCACAAGTAGACGCACGTAAGGCGACATCATCACGGCGTTGCTGCCGCGTCCACTGAAGGTCGAGACCATGACCCTTGCTTTTATATGCTCCGGGCAGCTTGCTATCGGGGAGGAGGAGGACGTCATCGTGCTCCACGGGGGTGCGCAGTCGACGAAGTCTACGTGGCACAGCATCGTTGACGCCACTGGCGTTGATCTAGATGCGCAGTGGTTGAGTTCCTTCGAGGGCTGGTGCGCATTCTCCATCGGGGTCCATTGATAGTGTTGTCCAGCAATAACATAGGCCGCTGCTGCGTCCGCGAAGAACCACGCCAAAACCTGCACAAGTAGACGCACGTAAGGCGACATCATCACGGCGTTGCTGCCGCGTCCACTCTGCGTGAATTCTTACTTCACGTGAGATCTGCCTTTTTTTTTCTGGCGCTGGATGACAAACATTTTCGAACTTTATCAGAAAAAAAAACATTTTAAAAAATGCCATCGTGGATTGTCTTTTAATATTTATTTTTGCTTTATGCTGGCTGTTGACTTCTGAGCCTCGCTTCCAACCAAATATTTCTTCGTTACAGCTGATAGTTTTGCAAAACTCGGGAATCATCCGCACACGACCGGCTGGGCACGCAGCGCAGAAGGCGTTCCAAGCAGCTGCTTGCATAGCATAGCCGTGCGTAGTAATATGGCAAGGTTTGTGAAAGAGAAGTGTGGGTGAATGAAGAGTGATATGCATGGGGGAGAGGGGAAGATGCCATACGCTCCACTGTTCCCTCCCTCTTAGCATCCCTTATGCGTAATTGCATCTTAGTTGGCTTCGTTATATAAATAATAAATTGCATTGAAATGATGCGTGACTGACCAAGCTTTTTGCTTATAACTCCCTAAAACCCCCTTGCTTCTCCTTGGTTCCCTATCGCTATATAGAGCTTCTGTATATGGAAAATCAAAGGGTGTCTTTTGAACTTTATTTTTTGGTGGGTATACATTCGGCTTTTATGCCAGTTCATTTCTCGTAAACCTTCCACTCTGCGGAATTCGGTGTTCGATTTCACGTAATAGATCATTCAAGTTGTTCTGGGTAATGTTATTTCTAGTGACACAGCGTGCATGGTATTATTGCTGATAACCCTGTTCTTGAATCATTTCTTCTTCTTTTTTTCTAGCTTCCCGTTACGACACTGTTAATACTACACTATTAATAAGGTTGCTGATGTGCACTCCTGTAAACCCTCCTAAGTCTATACTTTTGCGAGAAGCAGGAGCTAGTCATCCTGCTCCTGAGGTTTTTTCCCAGCCTCCTTCATATTATTGATGAAAAATAAGGAACCTGTTCTTATTATCATTCTCAATACTCCAAAATATACGCTGAAATAGTATCTTAACATGAAAACATTTTAACACACATAGTGTATTATATATATCTGGAAGGTTTACACGCGCGAACACATGCACATACAAGCCCAAACTAGTGGGATACAAAACACCTATGTACTTCGCATTACGCAGTTATAAAAAGCATGGTACATTACGAGGTTTCTGCCGCTAATGGAGGCACGTTCCTTTTGTAGAGATGATTCGCAGCTTTTGAAATGGCCTCTGAACGTTGAAAATGCCTTTTTAAACTCCGAGTTCGTCGAATAAACTTGGACTGTCTAATCTTTTACCGGCGAGTGTTCGTCTCATTTCTTCGTATTTATCCGAAAACACCATGCCCTAGCTATAACTGAAAAAGAGGTTAATCGGTAGTTATACGTTTGGACGACGTTATATTATGCAAGATTTACCGAATGTACAAATACTGTAAAAATCCATGCACGTTAGACAGCCGCATAGGTATGCGAGGTTGTGCGAGTTCGGTTGCGATTGCGTGTTGAGCGAATTTCGAAACGTGTTTTCTATGCGAGATCGCACATTTGCCTACTTTCCAGCGGTGCGTGTCGCGATTTCGCTGTGGTGTGTCATTTGATATACTTTTCTTTCTGCACGCAACTTAACCTGCATGTGCTGGCGCGTAAGACAACTGCTTCGGTAACAGCATGAATAGCTTCACGTGAATTCTCTTGTTATTGCAAAACAACTTTGGTTGCGCATAATTAAAAGTGCTTAAACAGGTTGCGTTGCACGGGCCAACGTTTCGACTAGCAAGCTTACGGGTGGGAGAGGGGGCACACATTGACGTAATTAGAAAGGGGCACTGCGACGAAAAGCGTGGCCAACAAAAGTTTTTATACTCAGTTCACCGTAACCGACAATTCGAGACAATAATGCTGCTTATAACGAGGTTCAGCTGTATATGCCCCGGTAGTAACAAACCTTCAGTTGACAGTCTGAACTTGTCTCCACCTATTTAGACGGGCCGGGTTTTTATGTGCGTGTGTGCGCGTGTGCGTTTTCTGCTTAGAGCACACTTCTTCTTCTGAAACCACCACTTATGCATTATATGTATTCTGCTCCACAGCCTGTGACGTACGAAGGTTTCCTAATCTCTTCGTCTTGAAACCTCCGACTTTGGGTGCACGTTAGAGAACCCCATGTGGTCTAATTTTTCGGAGCCCTCCAATACTGGGCGTTGTTTTGGGACGTTAAACCACACACAGCAATCAATCATCTGAGAATTCTTTGATGTGAATATAACATTTTGCCAGAAAGTCTGCGCGGGGCACGTTACGGTGAAATAGCAAGTGTTGTGCAACGTTGTCCTTCGATACGTATAGTGCTACCATGCAGGAAGACAGAGGTGCGAGACAACCAACAAAATGCCTTTAGTGGTGACAGTTAATTGAACTCAAAACTGTATATAATGATGATGATGATAGTGGTGCAGGCACCACTTAACACTCGCTAGGGACACAGAGTTTCCGAAAGTATATTTAAGAAACCATATGGCTGGGGAGACAGGAGCCCACTATTAATTCTTCATTCGTCGTCGTCCGCTGATCTCCGACATTTCGGGTCTTAAATGCTATCCCATCTATGTTTCTCGATGATGTAGCTTTTGCACTCGCCTCTTGAAGAGTATGCCGCCCTGTAATCGGACTGAGCAGGCACGAGCTACTTCGGAGACGTTCTATTGGAGACAAAGATATTGGTAATGTAAGTACTGCAGTACAAGTTTCAAGTGCAATGCTCTTCCTAATGCGCGCAGTGTGAAATACGACGTACATTTCGTTATCAGAGCTATTAGATGACTTCGCATAAAATATTGCGAAGAAATCATGTTCCATATATTGTCTAATAGCATCGCATTTTCGAAGCGGTCAACTGGAAGCGGTGGTGGTATACAGGGGTCTCACATGGAACTTACCGCATAACATGCCCCGGCTGATCACTTTCTTCGCCACTAGTCAAACTCTCAAGACCCAGAAGCATTCGCGTACGTTTTTCACTGTCTCCGTCAGTCGTTCGTGCATGACTCGACGATGGGCATCGGCAAATACCATCTCGTTGAAACGCTGTCTATTTGGAAGTAAAGGTATACCTGCCGCCCCCAGCTATCTTTGAGGTTTTGCACACTACCAACGACGCGTAGAAGCCCGTTCTCGTCGATTATCGGGTGTAGTTCGGCTACCCGCGAGTCACTGTATGAACCATTTCTTCTTGGTAGCCAACGTCTTTCATCACGAAACAATTCCGCTTGGACTTGGTGGATCCAATATCTCTAGGTTGACAATACTTGTTCAGCAGCGACATCTCCAACTTTCTAAATCTTCAACTTACTGTCGGAGACAAAACGCTGGACCCATGATATGATACGTCTAGTTGGAAGGGAATCCTTCGGACATGTTTGTACATTTGCATGAGAAGACGCACTGAAAAACACGCGGGGATTGCTGGTAAGCGAGTCCTCTCGAATGACGGGCAGTGAGCTAGCAAGAGAGGTTCCCGCATGAGCCTTTTCCAGTGTTTTGCATAATCAAATGAATCTTCATTATTTTCAAGGTCGCTACGTAGGAGACGCCCCATACGCGCTAAGCGCATGCTGCTAGACAAAAACAAAGTTTTGCCATTCCATTCATTATTTTCGATTTATATTGTTTCTGCCTTCAATGAAAGTTATTATACGTAAATCGCACAGATACGTTCAAGTTTTCTTTTTTTTCCCAAAAACTATCATGGAATAGCCTTACAGCCGATATTGTAAAATGTGCAACCGTTTATTTATTTCTAAATGCTCTCAACAACTATTATCGAATTGTGCTATCACTTATTGTATAATCATGCATGCAATGCTTCCCTTTAAATTTGGCACGTTTCAGTCAGCAAAATTATGACATTTGTTATAATGTTCTTGTTTTATTTTTCTTAAAATAACAATATGTGGGATTTAACGTCCCAAAACCCCCATATGATTATGACAGACGCCGTAGTGGAGGTCTTCGGAAATGTCCACTACCTGGGGTTATTTAACGTGAACCCAAATCTGAGCACACGGGCCTACAGCATTTTCACCTCCATCGAAAATGCAGCCGCCGCAGCCGGGATTCCATCCCGCAACCTGCGGGTCAGCAGCCGAGTACCTGCGCGGCTTCCTAAATTGTTACAAAATTGTTCTAATGTATACTTTTTTGTTTAGCACATGAAATTTTTACCATTAATACCGATGTCAGCAAGTCTATGTGACGCTATTTGTGTTTCTTTTGCTGCGAAGAGTTCTGTATTCCCATTCATGCTTGAGACCTGGTGAACAGGTCAGCAGTACGTAATAAATAAAAAAATAAAAATCACAATGTTTTACAACTAGCGCATCCTGCCTGACCAGTTAAGCCTGCCTCAGCACCAGTTTCTTTGGCTTAACCTTTTCCCACATCTGAAGCACAGAAATAGAACCAACACAACCGTTGGAGCAGTGGAAGGCGCGACTGTCCAGCTCCGACCTGGCCGACCAGCAACCGCTCATCTAGCCGGCTCATCTAACGGGCGGCTAAGGCCAGTGGGGCTCTCGACTAATACACCTCCCCTCTCAATCACCCAATCTAAGAATCTTGAGAATGTCGCCTGTATGTTTCATTAAAATATTTCTGGACTGTTTTGTTTTGCTAGCGTTTTTATTGCCCATTTCGAAACGTGCGAAATTTCTATAGCTTCGTTGCCAGAATCGATAACAAGTATGGAAAATCTCTGCACACAATAGCAAAAGTATACAATCTTACGGTAAAGTGCGTCACTTTGACGTCATCGGTTGCCCCACTTCCGTCAGGACGCTTGAAAGACGCGGCGAAGAAAAAAAAAACGAGAGACAAAACAAGAAAGCTGCAGCAATGTTGGTCCTTGTTGCAACTCTGACGCGAACGAAACCAGCCGACACGCCCCTCGACGAAAAAAAGGAACTGCAGGTAAACGCGCGAGTTATCTTCCAGACCATGCAC